AAGTGATCAAAGGGAACCTCATCGGTAAAGAGACAAATCGAAGAATTCACATCCTGGTGGGATGCGGCAAGAAAGACAGTTTCACTTCAATGATATTCTTGCCAAAGATGCAGGACAAGCAGTAACTCCCAACAAACCAGTCTGAGCACACTCTGCAAAATATCTGGCCTGTAACCTTCAGTCGTGTCAATGTCATGAAAATCAAATAAAGACCGAAGAGTAAGTTCAGGCTGAAGAAAACTAAAGAGACACAACAACTGAAAGCAATGCATGATTTCGAACTGGCTCTTTTTACTACAAAAGACATTCCTGGAATAATTGATGAAACTGACTGGAGTCTGGGGATTAGATGGCAGTAATGTATTAGTTTCTTTCCTTATTTTGATGGTTGTTTTGTCCTCATGTAGGAAAATGTGCCCGTTCGAAGGGGATAATGGAGCATTGGGTCAATAATCTGCTCTCAAATAAATCAAGATAAATATTCTTTGTGTTGTACTTGCAACTTTTGTTTCAAAATTTAAAAAATAATAATAAAATGTCTCGACCTCCTTGGGGGAGAAAGAGAAAGGTATAATGTCAATACAAAATTCCCATTCATTGAGGAGAAAACATAAGAAATTTTGTGTTGATGGAGCATCACACAGGGCTATGCCTCAATATCCCTGAAGGTCCCTATGCTCTTACGGGTCCTTTGACAGGAAAAGAGAGAAGCAGTATTATTTTTGAGAGTCCTTGGAAAGCTGCAATGTAATGGAAAGTGCCACGATCCTGCTTCCCAACTCACAGACCCTGCCACAGGGGAGTGACTAGACCCCTTGCTGCTGCTTCCACTGAAATGGAAGAAACTGAACAGTGTCTTAAGTGTCACTTGAAGTGCTTGGTAAGAGACAGGATGACTTGTGACTTACATTTTTTTCCCCCCATTTGAGGGGATGAACGTGGAAGTGAAAGAAGCATCTGGAATGTTGGCGATATTGCAAGACAGATTTTGTCTTTCAGAATCAGAGCAATGGGCTTGGTGACAGGGATGAAGTACCTCACATGAAAACCTTTGAGAAGATACTTCACTGAAAATGTCCATTATGAGCCTATAGCCTTCAGAGTCACTTTCATGGTGCTTTGATGTGCTATCCCTTGACTTTCAGGAAGAGCCCTACCTGAAACAGCCTTGGGAAAGTGTCATTGTATTGGCAGAGAAATGTGGTGGAAGACGCTGCTTGGTGCCTCCTGTGGAGGCCCCTATACAGAGTAAATATTATGTCTCTCCAGAGGATGTTAGGATTTGCTCCCTTTGACAATAAGAGTTAATAGATGCGTATACCTTTCTATTCACCTCAGCTGTCGGGAAACTCAAAATGATTGAGGTTCAACTATAGGGATGGTGGATGCCTTTTGGCTTGCAGAACTACATTCTGGAGCTCTCCTTACCTCTCTTCACTGCTCACTTCCCAAACTCTGATTTTTAAATGTTTTATTGTTTCCTATAAGTTGCTTCAAAACTTTGTAAAAGAGACAGAAAGATTATTGAAAGAGTGAAAGTTGAGGGAACAAAACCTTCTCTGTAAAACTGAACTAAATGTTAGGAAGAAAATCATGCAAATCATGCATAGAACAAGAACATTGAGAAGTTCCCTCAGTATTTAAAAGAAAATAAGAGGCAGATCAGCCAGGAGCAATTTACATGGTCTTAGGCACGTGTCAAAGCACAGTGCATAACAGTGGATATGACAGGATTCCTGCCAAGACTTCGGTGAAGAAAGCAATAAATATGAATTTCTAAGATATAGAGGGTGTCAGAAAACTACACAGGTGTTTGCAAATCCATAATCTTGAGTGTGGAAAACATTTGACCTAGGGTAAAAGAAGTCAACATGACATTTTCGAAAAGTATCCCTCACCCTGCTTGATTAACATGAAAAAAAAACCCAAGATGATCCTTTCTTGTTACACATCCCAATATTTTCAGAGCAGTAGTGACAAAAGAACATCAACTCTTTGGATATCTGCTCCCAGTCTCATTCTGGCAAGACCAGAGCTAGCAAAGACTTCATTTGTCTGCCTGACAATTTCATTTGTCAGAAGGCAAAGTAACCACTGAGGAAAAATGGCTGCTTTGGAGTGATTTCTGATCAGTGGAAAAGAAACCGGTTGGTAAAGTGGAAATAAGAAGAATCTCAGGAGAGTGTGTTTATGTTGTCTTGGTGACCTCACAAAACTCCCAAAGCTTTTCATTTAGGTCATCCTTTTGTTACTTCTCCTTGCAATATTGTCACTTATATACTTCTCTGACCCCACAAGAATGTTCTTTGAGGAATGGGATCACATTATGCCATCTTTGTGTCTTCTGATGTCTGGTGCAGTATCTTTTAAATGCAAAAAATTAATCAAACATGCCAATGACTTGGAATATAGTAAACACAGCAACTTGCATGATTTCAGAATGATCTGACATTCTTTTTTAAAAACTTTTTTTCCTGATTATATTTTCACTGTAGAAAATCAGGAAAATTTTGGAAAAATATAAATAAAACAAATACAAACTTTCCATAAGCTTTCCACCTATAGCTAAGCATTTTGAAGTACCTTCTCATTTTTTATACTTACATATTACTTCAGTTATAAGCATACTATATCTACAGTTCTGTACCTAACATTTCCCATTCACCTTATAGCCTGAGTATTAAATGTCTTCATTTAAAAATGACTAGATAATGTTCCATTGCATGTCGTTACTATAATTATGACAAAAAATAAAACAACATAGGGAATTTAATTGGCTACAAGCTTTAAGAACTGTGGTGTGTTCGAGAAGTCAGAAAAGGAAATCATTCACCTGTAATAGAAGGATGGGCTGAGCTAGGGAATCAGATGAAGGCCTAGGCGATTCCTGGGGTCCTGAGTTTTGTTGAGTCATCTATGGTGCATCTGAAGGGTGAGCTGGTGGCATGGAGCCTGGAGCCAAAGCTGATGAGGAAAGGTTAAAGTCCAGAGATTTGCGGAGCAGGCTGTTTTCTACATTTGAGGAATGACCGACTTGTTTCGTTAAAGATTTTATTTTTATAAATGGTCATACATTAAAAGACTTTTTGATGTACAGTTCCATGAATTTTAGCACATAGATTTGTGTGACCACAATTAGGATCCAGAATAGTTTCATCACCTCCCAAAACCTCCGTGTGCTACTCCTTTATGGTCACACCCACCAGTCCCCCTTAACTCCTGGCAGTCACTGACAGGTTTTGTGTCACTATACTTTTGTCTTTTCAGGAATGAGAATGACGGACTTATTCCATGGCATCTCAGTTGGCAGAAGCTGCTAAGTAGAAATTACAAAGACACAATTTTGACTCCTTCCTTAAGCGAGTTTGAGAGCTGTTTCAAAAAGATACAGATGCCAGGCGAGCTGGTAAGCGCCCCATCACTGGAAATATTCAAGCAGAAGAAGTGGCTTCAGGGATACTAGAGAGTAGGATATACTTAGAGTCTCATTTATGATCTGTATCTTGTGTAAACGAGCAATAGAATAACTAGATCAAACTTAGAGTCACATTTAAAAAAAAGGAATAGCAGCACTAAATTTATGTTCAATCCAAAGCCACCTGTTTTCAATTCTGAGCAGTTCAGAGTCCTGCCAGCGCTCTCATGCGCCTCAGAGTCATGGGGTCTGGCAAGGATTTTGGCTTCCTTAAGCCTTAAAAATCACATTTAAGTTACTCCCCAACATGAGCAACAATGTTCTTGATGAGAAAGCTGCCAGCATTGGGTAATGCTGATTATCTGTGCATCGGTTCATATAATTACCCCCAATTCAAGAACCTTGTGATCCCCAGCGGTGTGCGCCCGGATTCTGAATATCCCCCAGCAGTCCCCGCCTCTCCCCCCGCCCCCCGGCCCCGCCAAGGCCCCAGCTCATGAGTGCTCAGGCTCCTGACTTAGCACTCACAGCCGAAGGTGAGGTGAAGACACCAAAATCCTCCCTCTAGTGGCTTAAGCTAAAATACTCTGGCCCTACACAGACCCGAGACACCCTGGAGCCATTTCACAGGGTTGAAATTCCATTGCCTGGCGGAGACTATCTCACATGCAGGGATGGGCGCACTGGCACCGCCTCTCAGCTGTGCCAGGAACTCCCCGCCAAGCCGTGGGTGCTCACCTAGCAACCCCTATTCCTCACTGCCATCCGGCACCGGACACCGTGGGGGCGCCAGCATTTTCCGTGGTGACTGATGGGTGGTTATCTCATCACATTGCTATTTGAGGAAAAGAAACTGCCCTGCTTTTCTTCAACCCTGAGCTGTTCTCTTCCCTCACCTACTTCCCATCTTCTGAAGCTTTTTGTGTGTTGGGGAAGGTGGTGCTTGGTGACAGGTCTGTGGCCTTAACCCCAAGGGAGCTGATCTTTTCCTTTTTTGCCACTCGAGTAGAATGAGGACATCATCAGATCGACACATTTTGAGCCCCCAATGAGGCTGGGAGGCACTGCTGTTCTCTAGTGGATCTTTAATCATTATTTGTGAAATTCAAGAGGTGGAATTCAGGCTCCAGTGTATTTACCCGGTGCCACACCCATGGAGTGCATGGTGGGGAGAAATGGGGCTTCCCTGTCTAACCTCTGCTCAACCTCACCTAGATGATACAGAGGAGGAACTATGAATGCCAGGGAAAGACTGCCACAGCTGCTTCCTTTCCTTCCGATCCAAGAATTCCGTCTCAGATGCTGGTCCCAACTCATCTCAAAGGAAATCCTGGCTCCTGATGATGACCTGAGTAGCTGTGGCATTTTAGCAAGGTGTTTATCCCCAAAGACACCACAGTTCCTCTTTTTATGTGACAGTTGTACCTGAACCATCACTTTGATTTGCTCATTCCTTTTGCATAGAATAGTGATCTTGAGAGAGTATTTGTCAGTTTCTGTGTAAAGGCAGCCACGGGATGTCCCAGGACCCCAGTGACAGAAGGCCTTCTTAAAATGAGAATACAAGGCTCATAAAAACAAAGTCACTTAGCAGTCCAAATAGTACTTTTCCTGCCTTTGGTTGTTGGTCACATGAAGGGGCACTGGGACAGTGTGAGGCTGGGCCAGAAAATGAGGCTACACTTTCCTCCTGCCTTGACATCTTTCTCTCTGAAACATTGGTTATCATATCAGAAGACCACGTTGTTTTCTGAGCAAGCCAGGCTTTCTTGGCTCCGGTAAGTGCTCTAAACCCCACGTATCTAATTCACATTCCCTATCATTTGCATCGCAGGAGAGGCACGCAGAAATGGAAGGTATGGATATTTTTCTTGACCACTCCTTCCACCACGACAGAGCCACTGGGCAGCAGAAAAAGAATACTGTACAGCTATACTAAAAGCAGGCAATTTTCCATACAAAGTCCCTCCCCTACATAAGAGGTCAGTGTGGGAAAGAGAGATCTCTCCCCTCCGCATGAATGCCGCACTGGAGTCTTCTGGGAATACCTGAATGAGGTCACACACAAGAGGCCCACAGTCATCAAGGCATGGATAAGGTCATCTTGAAATTCTTAGCTTGCTTGGTGGGACATTTTATTCTGTCCTTCTTTCTGGGCAACGACAAACAGCGTCACAGTCAAAGGGTAGCAGGAAAGAAAGAGGAAGGAGAGGAAACTGGCTCTTTGGTCTTGAAGGACAGACCACAGGTGCGCTTTTACTGAGATGAAATGTGGTAAGCTGATGGTTCATGTCTCCGGTCTCTGTATGCAGGTTTAAATAACTAAAAAGAAGGGTGTAGAAAGGTTTTCCCAATTCTTCTGAAGGAAATGTACTTTGAGTAGATACTGAATCTGAAATAATTTTCAACTCACTTTCAAACCAATCTACTGAGCTCAAGAAAGAAATCAGAAACGAAATTCTCGCACATGTTTAATCTAAAAAAAAAAAATTGACAGGAAAAATAAAATTTCAGATGTTTTTTATTCAAAGGTTCTCAAAAGAAATAAAACAGAAAAAGCTAACAATCTGATCAAATGTACAGTTCAAAAATGTCTTTTGGCGTTTAACAAGTCCTAGGAAAGAAAACTACAGAGTTATCTTGAACCGGACAAATAAGTTACCACTGGCAAGTTTGTGGCACTAGTAAAACAAAAATAAAAAATTAACTCTCTTGATCATATAGATATCTCTATGAAAATCTTTTTTTTCAATCTGTACAAAAGGTCTTTCTTCATAAATTAATTTTTTTTATAATTTAATGGCTGTCTACTATGTGATGTTTAACTGATTTTTTTTTTATGTACAGAGGTTATGTTTCCCAAATCTTACCCAGACGAGTATGGCACTTAGTTCAGACATTTCTAGCAGCAGATTTCCCCTCCCCTCTAACTGAGCTATCAAATTTCTGTCTTAACTAATGCAAAAATATCAAGTAGTGAGAGACCCAGATTCATAAATGTACTAGGTACAAGGAGGGTGCTGCGTTCAGTCTGGACTTTCACAAAGCAGTAATATTCCAGGGAGCATAGAACCAATAATACCACAACTTTAAAAAAGGAAACAAAAACAAAAACAAAAACACATTTCTTTTATGACTATGTAATTTTCACTAGAATCTACACTTCTCAGAGCAGCAAGGACTTTTGAAACTATGAAATGTCACTGACATCTATAATCAAATACAAGCATAAAATTTTAAGAACTAAAAAATACTCGAAAGAAATAACTGCTTAGCCCTAGCTCCTGAGCTAGGAGGATTTGGTCTGTGGAAACAGGGAGGGCCAGCAACCTGTCCCAGCACAAAAGAAAATAGACTCTGAGGTAGATAACTGATCACACACAGTTGACCAGACAAGTACACAGTTTTGGAAGACAACTTAATTTACCATTGCTTTTCAAACGTATGCGGTTATCTTAATAAAAGAGCTTTAATAACAGTGGATCATCTCATATGTACTAAAGTAGAAATAACTGTGTATTTATGAATCAGGAATTTCATAGTTTCAAAATTGTTTTTTCTTTACACTTAACACTTGTAGTGATGACGTAAAGTGTGGCACTGCTTGGATTCAAATCTTCCTTCATGCTTTTTTGTTTGTGTGTGTCCATACATCAATTAAAATTATAAAACCTAAATGTGAAGGTACAAAAAAGGCACATTCTCCTAACCGCAAACTGGTCCGGCAAAAATAAAGAGCACAGAAGATGTGATGCTGAGACAAGTTGGAGCTACTGGTTACTGGCTCTTCGGTCTTTGGTGAAGTTACCTTTTAAAAGTGCCAAGTAATGTTTATTTCTCAAATTTACGTAAGAGAGAGAGAGAGAGAGAGAGAGAGAGAGCTAGTAGCCAATCGTTTTGCTTCTATTCATATCTCAGCTTATGTTTGAAGATAAATCCTTACTTTTAGCTTTTGCCATTTAGTTGCAATAGCAACATTTTTCGGTTTGCCAGATCTCAGGCATAAGCCTCATTCTAAAGCACTATCATTAGTATAAAGGAAGGACAAAACATTCGGGGACTCCCCTCCCCCGCCCCCCACCCCCAGTCCCAATGCTACCTACACTAAATCTAGAACATCAAGTTAGTTTTTTTTTTCTTCCTGAAAAAAGGCAAAAAAGACTTTACATTGCATCATACAGCAGATATCCTAAATCAGTCAAACTATCAGAGGAAACTGTTGGCATACAGCTTTACAAACAATTTACCCTATTAAAAGTTCCCCAGTCAGAAAATGTGTTTCACACAAAACATTTTTCCCTTCTTGCATTTCACTACCTTTATACAGTATGTGAAAAATCATTAAAAACACCTACTACATATTTAAAAAAGCCAAAATTTCAGCAACTTTTATTGACTACCTTTTAAAAGCCCTATGCTGCTGTTTTACAAGGCATAATAGACCAGCTCATTTGGTCAAAGCATTCTACATCATTAGTTTGAACTAACTTTTACTGAAACAGCTACAGCATCAAAAGAGTTAAGGCAAATTGGAATTCATAGAAAAGGATAAGACACTTCACACTACGTCGAAAGAAAAACGGAAAGCGAAGAAAAGAGACACTGAGGGCAACACTGAATTACAGCAACACTCGCACTGCAAGCACAGAACACCATGGGTGAAGTCGGACTATTTAAACGTCAGAAAGCCCATTTCATAAAGCTGAAAAAAACACAAATTAAACACAAAATGAACAAAACCACAAAAATCCGGTCATGCACTTGGATAAGTCTTCATGGTCTTTGTGCATACCCAGAAAATTGAAGTTTTCGTTTTCTTTTCTTTTTTTTCCTTTTTTCTTTTTTCCTTTTTTTTTTCCTTTTTTTTTTTTTTGCATTGTAATTGATAAAAATCTTTTGTTTTGTTTTTTTGTTTGTTTTTTTTTTTACTAAAATAAACCTGTTCAGGGGAACAGCTACTAGATGAATTTAAGGGTTTTATGCACCTTATAGAACTTATAGCAAAAATAGTTTTAGTTGATTTCATTATAAATAACGTTTTCAAGAACCTGTGCAAAACTGTCAATAATTTCCTAAAGCACAATTGATCAGAAAAATCCATGATTGTTCAGCCTTCACACCCTTCTTCATGTAAGAACACCCTTCTGTACATCTGGAAGAGAAAAATAAAACACGAATGCTTTTGTATATTGGTATAATACACCACAGAGCTCTGTAATCACTTTCTTGTTTTAAAACAACAGGTGCTTAAAAAAGGCTGTGCTCATCGCTGGCGGCAGACCAAGAAATGCAAACTCTAGGAATGAGGGTCACTTTCTATGCTTCAAGTCTACCTTTCCAATCTGGAACCTGCAACATATTTTCGCCAGAGCAATCAGAAACTCAAGTTCTCTAAAGCTATTTTACTGCAATCTGCATGGTACGGTAAAAAGTTTTTTCGAGATTTGTGGTTCAGGTGAGAGCTGGGAATGCAACCTCTCAATCTAAGGATACTGACGTTAAATTCGTAGTCAAGATACTGCTAATCTTGTTCAATGCTAGATTATGCAAATTATTCTGCTGTATTTCCTTTCAGTTTGTGAGCAGTAAAGAAACATAAATGTAGGATACTTGCAATGTAGGACAAATTTGGTACCTGGTGTTCTCTAATATGTCACAGATTTGGGGGGAGCAGGTAAAAAGGAAAAGAGTAAATATACATTTCACTTCAATATTAAAGTACTGTTCTTTTTAAACTGAATACTTAATATGCAAATCCACAAAATCACTGCTTTTAACATTTCGATGACATTGGATTCTCTGGCCATGATTAAAGAAATGTGACAAAGTCCGAGTTATTCTAAGTACCATTTTGATAAAAAAAACCATAGACTTTCCTTGACTTTAGTCCTACAATTACAGATATCTTTCCCTCATACCTCACAGTTACTTATTGGGTTGAAAGGTATATGGAGAATGGTCATTAGACGTCTCTACAGCCACCTGCTGCTGACCACTCGCCTCCTACAACAAAGCAGAATAGATGAGAAATGTGAGCAATGAGATCCAAACTCTACTACCCACATCTGACTGAGTCCAGCATTTTCAAAACAAGTACTCTTTAAAAGTATTTTTCTTAAGGTCGTGTAGCGCTTTTAAGGTTAATTATTTTCCTAAGGAGTTAAAATGTCTGATAAACCCAAAGAACCTCCTGCTCCAACTTTTATGAGTTGTCTCTTCAAACCAAGCTACAATTTATCAAACGAATCTCTTATCCCCTTGCAGCCAGATGTGACTTGGAATTCAGTATTTTCAGATCTGGGGATCTGAGATTCTGTATGCATATGCTGTATCTCACAGAATATACCCAGTGGGGTCTAATGCTGTACCTCATAATCAAATGCATTAACAGATCTACACTAAAAGATAAGAATATGCACAGTAAGTGGGTAAAGATTTTTGCATCAGTCTAGGCTGGGTTTTGCCACAGGTCAGCTTTTTTTTAAGTAGTTACAATGAGGATTTTTATTTTAATATATTTTTTGTGTCCCCAAATTGCAGATAAGATATTTTGGGTTCTGAGAACTATGGATGTCAATAACTGCACACATTTGAATCAATCAGAAGCAAACAAACCAAGAACCCCGCCCTGCTCCAAAAAGTTTCCAGCTACAGTCCTAGGGCTGTTACTGGAATTGGAACCTAAGGGATCAATCTGGTGAGTGGGATTACTGAACTGACAAATTTCCTTAGAAGTTTAAGGGTTCTCTGCAGGAAAGAGCTATGCTTTCTGTCCAGTCTTATTCAAACATCAGATTTCTTCCATATCATATCAGTATCTTCCATAAGGAGAACTAAGAGTTATTTCGCTATATTAACA